ACATATGCTTCAAGAGCAACACTATGCGGGATCATAAAAATTTGTTTAACTTCCTCGAGTGTGAAATGAAATTCATTTTGCAGCTTGTTTACATTAGTTGGAAAGAGAGCCTTTCTGCTTACAAGTAAAGTATAATAGTCTTTAGATTTCTTCTTTGTGACATCAAATATATTATCGTCAATTTTTAGAGAAAGTTCACCTGTTGTTGATTTATGAGTACAATTTTTTAAAATGGAAGGAATGGAGTGTCGAAGACCTGCCCAAACTAAAAAATTAGTTTTAGAAATCCTGTTAGAAACTAAGGAAAAGGAATCTTTGTTATTTAAGTCAAAGGATAGATCGCTGATGTGAACTACACCAGCTTCGAAATAGCTTTTATAATAAACTGTTTTATTATTAATGAGTATTTGTTTGTTATTCCAAAGAATATAACGCCAGTCTTTTTCTGAAGAGAACGTATCTCTAAATTCTGACCACCACTGCAGTAATTCTAGATAGAATAGAGAAATATTCAGTGGAAGGATACTAACATCATAATTGCAATGAAACAAGAAAAGGCCGCCAAAGCGTTCTAGATGATGTGTCAGATACCTTTTCCAGGTGCCATCATTTGAGCTAGCTATTCTTTTTAGCCATGCCAATCGAAGCGATATTATCATGCTATCAAAATCAATCATCTTTAATCCTCCGTTGGAGTATTCATTTATCGCCGATCTGCGTGTGACTTTATCACGACCATTCCATAAGAATTGAAATAATAACTGGTTTAACTGACTTACAAATTCTTTTGGGGTAGGTATTAAAGATGACACATAAACAAATTTCGGGATTAATAGAGATTTGATAAGTGTAATTTTGCCATAAATAGAAAGTCCTCTAGAGGACCAAATTCTAGTCAGGTTTTTAATACTGTCTAATCTTTCTATGAAATTCTTTTCAAGAAGCAATTTTTGATCATACGTGTAATAAATTCCTAAAGCCTTTATCGGTTCGTTAGGCCATTTAATTCCAAAAGGCTGTGCTTTGCAGTTCCTTGAAGAACCTATCCACATAGCTTCCGTTTTGGAACAATTAATCTTTAAGCCAGAGACAATCTTGAAATCATCTAACAGCCTAAAAAGAGCAGTAGCAGAGCTTGTGTCGGCAAGTATTGCTGTCGTATCATCTGCGTATTGAAGAATTTTTGTCTCCTCACTCCCAATAGAGATACCTTTGATATCTCTATTTTGTCGAATCGCAATTGCTAATGTTTCTATAGTAACTACAAAGAGGTAAGGAGAGAGCGGGTCCCCCTGCCGTACCCCACGTTCAAGATTAAAGTATTCAGATGAAAGTCCGTTGTTTATCACACAGCTTTGTATGTTTCTGTAGAACGTTTGAACCCAATGGATGAAATTAGGGCCAAAATTGAAGGATTTCAAACAATAGAGAAGAAATTCCCATTCTACGCTATCAAATGCCTTTTCAAAATCAATAAATATCATTAGTCCCGGAATACTTTCTTTTGCAGTGAAATCCATAATATCGAAAACTGATCTAATTGTTTCGCCGATATATCGGTCTTTCACGTATCCAGTTTGGTTATGGTGTATAATATTTGGAAGAACATTTTTAATTCTAGTGGCGATCACTTTAGACATAATTTTTGTGTCAACGTTTACGAGAGAGATTGGACGCCAGTTCTCAATATATGAACGATCTTTTCCTTTTTTTTCTATTAGAGTAATTACCGCTTGTTTTTGAGAACAAGACATTTCACCTTTTTCAAAGCTTTCGTTCACGCATTTAAGAAAAGGATCGCTTATTAAAGGCCAGAACACTTTGTAGAATTCTATAGGAATTCCGTCATTCCCGGGAGTTTTGTTGGTTTGAAAGCTTTCGAGGATATTGTAACATTCCTCAGCTGAAATTTTGCCTTCGCAGGTCAACTTTTGTTCTTCGGTTAATTGAGGTATATTCAAATTCTCTAGAAACTTTACAATGTTCTGACGGTTTTCCGCATCACTATTTGAACTTTTGTATAACTCTCGATAAAAACGTTTTTGTTCTTGAAGAATGTCATAGGGATCTGTCTTTACGACGCCGCTGATTACTAGTTTCCTTATATGCTTTTTTACATGATTTCTTTTTTCTAAGTTTAGGAAATATTTGGTACTTTTCTCGCCGTGTTCATGCCAACGTGCTCGGGCACGGATTATTATTCCGTTGACTTTTTCATCATAAAATGATTCGAGCTTATCCTTAGCCGCATTTAAATTGTTGCCATTCGAATCATTGGGGTTCGTTTCGAAAACCTGTTTCGCTTCAGTATATTCTTTTTCAAGTTTTGATCCTCTTTCGTTTCTCTCCTTTGCCTTCTTTTTGGAATATTTTATAGCATGAGCTCTTATGTTATATTTTATCCAGTCCCAAATGTTACGGTGGTCGGAAAGTTCTTTTCGGCCTTCCTTGATCCAAATTGGTACCATTTTTGTAAGGTCATCAATGTACTCATCATCCTCCAATATGGAGGTGTTCATCTTCCAGAACCCAGGACCCTTAGCCTCTTTGTCCACGTTCCCAAATTCTAAATAGATAGCAGAATGGTCAGTTCTGATGGCGGGGATTATATTTGTGGCTTTGACCCAGTCATGTAAATTGTTAGAAATCAACCAATAATCAAGGCGACAAAATATCGGCGGAGATCGTTGACTCCAGGTAAAACTTTTAGTTTGCGGGTTTTTAACTCTCCATATATCTACAAGATCTAGTTGACTTTGGACATCGTTGATGAAATTTATCACAGATTTCCTAGGCGTCATTATGCCACCTTTTTTGTCCAGTGTAGGATTCAGAGGACAATTGAAATCACCTCCAATCACAATATTTTCTTCTGAATCTAAATTTTCGGTCTGCAGCTTAGATAACACATTTTTGAGGAATTTAATGATGTCTTCGTCTTTGTTTGGTGCATAAATGTTTACGAGAACATACATTTTATCTTTGATAGCGGCTTTAACAACGATATACCTCCCCGATGTATCTACAATTTGAGAGTGAATAACGCAATCAAGACCTTTTTTGATTAAGATTGCAACACCTCGAGAGTTTGAGCTCCCATGGGAGCAAATAAGTTCTGCACCCCATTCGTTTTTCCATTTTAACTGTGTTGACAATGTCGAATGAGTTTCTTGCAGGAATATTATATCCGAGTTTCGTTTTCGACACCACGTGAAAATTGTTCGCCTTTTTCTGAAATTGCTTAGTCCCCTCGCATTGAGAGATAGTAGATTAAGAGAATGATCGGTCATTAGAGCTGAATCGGGGAAGTGGTATTATAGAAGAAGTCATATAAAACGAAAATGAAATCGATGGTATAGCAGAGTGCAAGAAAATATAGTGCACATAAACGATAATATTCGCCCTAAAACAAATTATTAATCTACAGAAAAACATACAGTAACATATCAAGTAAGAAGTTTCCAGTGCACTCACATTTCTAATTAAACAAGGAGGGTTAAATAGTTTAACACTTATTACACACATAAACCTTAAACTAAACTTAACTATTGATGTGCTGTCGCGCTGTGACCGCTTTGGCTTTAGTTTCCGCTGTTTCTTGTGTCCATAATGAGACCGTAGTATGGGAGATTGGTTGTTTCTTCACCTCTGTAGATTTGCCCGTTTATAATTAGCTTATCAACTTTGAAATAGGCTGTTTGCTTTTTCTGTTTGGCCTTTTTCAAGATGGGATATAACGTTTTCTGTATTTCATCAATTTCCCGGGGGAAATCATTCGCGATTGAAATGTTAGTGTTTTTCAAGTTTTTAACAAAAGACCAAACATACTCCTTGTCTTGAAAGAAGCTAAACTTAGCTATAATAGGCCTAGGTTTGGAGTTCTGTCCTTGACTGGTATTCTTCTTAGTAGGGATGCGGTGAACGCGTTCGAAACGGATCTGTTCGATATCTTCCTCTGGGATCTTAAGTTTATCGCGCATCACTTTTTTCAATTGATCTTCAGCAGAAGTTGACTCACCTCTTCCTTCTGGAATATTAAACACTTTTAGATTTTCACGTCTTGTGTATGCTTCTAACTTGATGTTGCGGCACTCAAGATGTTTTATTTTAGCACTGAGGTCTTCCAGATTCTTTGCGTGGGTTTCCAGTGTTGCACACGTGGCGGTTGAAGACGAATTTAGGTCGTCGATGTCGGCTTGAGCGGTGTTCAGGCTTTCTTGTAAACTTTTATTTTCTTTTTCCAATTCTGCCACTCTACCTTGCATAGCCTCTAACTCGCCAAGTCTTGTTAGCACTTTGTCGAGCTTTTCACTGACTTCATCTAGTTTGGTAAAGGTCGGTACACACTAGGCGACAAGTTGCTGCAACACGTCGCGGCGACAGATCACTCCGTGTGCACAGATCGGGCGACTAGTGCAGCAACAAGGTGAGGCGACACGTCGCAGCGCCAAATCGCTTCGTGTGTACTGGAGAATTTTTGTGAAAATCTTTGTCTCCGCAACAGAATTTTGTCGCTGCAACAAGTCGCAAAAAATCAAATCAGACTAAATCTGTGCGACTTGTTGCGGGGACAAATTCTGTTGCAGCGACAAAGATTTTCACTAAAATTCTCCTGTACACACGAAACGATTTGTCGCTGCAACCTGTCGCCTAGTGTGTACCGACCTTAAAAGCCCCACGAAAATGGCCGTCGGCTTCGTCGAACGCATCTTCCCCGTCAGTCTGTGAGACGCTTTCCCTTAACCGTTTACGACTATCGGCTCGGGCGTCTTCTTTTCCCATGTTATTTAAGCGAATGAAAGCTAAGCAGCCTTCGTTGATTACATTATTTTACAAGTTTTGAATTTCATCTAAAGGAGCTAGCAAGAACACGTCCGCCTTCGGCGAAGGCCATGTTACTCTTCCCAATCTGAATACAACCTATTGAGCATATCACACAGAGCCCTGGAGAGACCGAGCAGGATGTTACCATTAGACGCTTAGATCGTGAACGGTTTTGGATGTTAGAACTTGGCACTACGTATCCTTATGGACTCAATGATCGCTTGCAACACGTTGGAAACGTTTCACATTCCTGTGTTCGATCCAGGAACAATGTGTTTAATCTTTTTAATCGTCATCAACGCCGTAAACGGAGCCATGGACGGCGAAGTAACTCCAGACGTAACTCGCAAATCGCAATCTGTACAACGGAGGTCAGAGTCATGGTGGCCCACATCGTCTTCGAACTACCCTTCATAGCGCCCGGTTACCAAATTTACATAAACTATTTGATGAATGTGAACGGCTAATAGTCGCCAATCAGGAACAGCGTTTTAGGAGCATAGTTTTGGATGTGTGTTGCAAAAGATTATTTTTTCCGTACGTACAGGTATTGACTCCACCGCTAAACCTCCACGACGCTTCATCAAAGTGTTTTTCCACAACAAAAGGATGGACAAAGTTAAGCTTACTAACATTTTACATAACAAACTAGTTAGATCTAAAATACCAATTTATATTCAGGAAGAGGATCCATTACTGGTAAGTTATAAGTATACTAATAGTATTTCTACGGGTGTGTTCAATTATAATCAAGCCCTTCGTAACATTAATCTCGATGATTAGCATAATGCGTCTTCGTCGTGCGACTGCCAATCTTCAACTTTCCAATATGAGCCTCATGGTCATGTCATTACCGGAGATTTACGAATAATAAGAAACAGAAAACTTAGACGTCTACTAGAGAAGCGTCAAAGCACAGGGAGCAGAATAATATCGATTGGCACCTTAACAAGAAGATATTGACAAAGGCGGTAGATGATTACGCCAGGAATTGGAGTAAACGAGAGGGATGCCGCGTGTCAGCTCTGGAGGCATGGTCGGAGGCGGTAAAACTTATCATCAGCAACAGGATAAACAATTTACAACATCGAAGTTTTCGTCTTTGTCATAAAATCTTAGAAGACGCGCATATCACGACATACTTGACAGAAGTTCAAAGTAAATACGTATTGGTTCCTGCACATAAAGCCGGCAAAAACATCATTTTTGTTTGTAAGTATTATTACGTACATACTCTAATGGAAGAGCTTGGCATAAATTCAAGAACAAATCGTAATTCTACATATGTAACTCAGAATCGTACAGTGGATGAAATAATACAGACCCACGCCACAAAATTAGAGGATGTATTTGACATCAAATTGCAACAGAAGGAGAAAAACTTGCCACACATATATTGGATTCCTTAACTTCACAAGACACCGTACAAGACCGTACAAGGCAAGATTTATTGCAGGTTCAAGTTCATGCACTACAACTAGGCTCTCTAAATTAATTACTGAGTGTCTTAAACTGGTCGGCACCCACTGCACCGCTTGCTGCAAGACGATTCGAGTAAGGACAGGTGTTAACTGCATGTGGATCATCCATAATTCATTGGACGTTATCCGTCACTGGAGGAAAACAGCTTTCCCTTAATCATGTGACTACTTGGGACTTTTCGACTCTTTGTACTAGCCTTCCACACGCCCAACTTAAAAAGTAACTCCATGATCTTTTGGAAAGAGTTTTTAATACTAAAGGAAAGAGCTTCATTACTACCAATAATTTTCGCACCTTCTGGACGAATGGTATCACGTCAACGAGGTACATGTACTTCTCCTGTAGAGAGCTTTGTCTCGCTATTTACTTTCTTATCGACAACATCTACGTTCTTTTTGGAAGCTCTGTTTTCCGGCAGGTTATTGGTATAGCAATGGGCACCAACAGTGCACCTTTATTGGCTGATCTCTTCCTTCATACCTTCGAGTACGATTTCATGGTCAAAACAATGAAACAGGATATTACAAAAGCCATCCAATTCAGCA